CTCCATGATAATAAATGCAAAGAGTGTTTCTCGGCCCTCATCTTTTTTGATAATAATAATATCACTCAGTATTTACCGAGCACTCCTTATATGCCAAGCATGGTATGCCATACTTTGGGCTTCACAAGCAGATGAAGTCGGTTTTACAATTATACCCCTTTTATGAATTGAGACTTTGAGAAGTTAACATGTGCCTAATGTCACACAGCCTGTGAGCGGGGCAGGTAGGTTTCAAACGCGAGCTCAGTTCCAGAGCACAAGTCCTCATCCACCGCAGTGGCTCCTTCCTGTGTGCAGCATCAGACTGCGCACCCTGCGCCTGCCTCTGTGCTTTCTCCCACCTCCGTCTTGGTCTCCATTTGAGGCTGCTCTTCCTTGGTGCACCCTTAAACACGGATGTCCCCAGTGATCCGTCCTTGGCTCCTCATCCCTGAGGGTGCTCTCATACAGTCCCTGGCCTCAATTATTGCACACAGGGATGCAAAATCGGCCCCTCCAGCCAGTCTACCGACTGGTCTCTCCAACTGGTCTACTGTCACCTCCACAGATGCCTCAGTTTCAACATGTCCAACATGGATTCAGCTCCTCTACCTAATTTGAGTTAAGTGCTCTTCCTAGGTGGTCTCTCGGCATCCTGCAGGGCCTCCTTCCTAGCACTAACCACACTACACTGTGGTTACTGGGTCTTTGTCTGCCTGTCCTGTGTATCGCCCTTGTCTTTCCAGTGCCCAACACAGGAGCAAGCATGTGGTAGGTGTGCACTCAGCAATTATGAAATTAAGTAATGCAGGTCACATAACCATCCTAGACTTCAGTTTCCTGACCTGGAAAATGAAAGACTTGGAGCAGGAGAATAGCAATGTGTTCCATTCTGCAAGCTGCCCTCTGAAAAAGGGTCTGCGGTCAACTGAGTTAAGACATGGTGCATGTTCTCCTCTTGGTAATTCACATTACATATCACATTAAAAGCTCTGACAATCCTTTGTTCTTATTTAAGTAAGGGTTTCTCAAACTTATTTGACCACAGAATCTTCTTTTCCTAGAGTACCCCAGCCCCTCCAGCATGAGTAGTGCTCCATGGGGTACACACTTTGGCAAACATTAGACCAGTGGTTGTCATTGTGCAGGGGTGGGGACTGTGCTACTGACATCTAATGGGTAGAGGTCAGGGAAGCTGCTGAACATTCTACAATGTACAGAACAGCCCCCACAACAAAGGATTATCAACCCAAAATGTTAATTGCACCCAGGTTGAGAAACTCTGTGCCAGACCAATCTTTATTATCAAAGCCCTTTCCAGCTCTAAAACTTCTGATGCAAACAAGTCATAAAAACTTACCAAGATGCTTCAACTATAGAGAATGAGACATCCCATTTAGAACAAAGATTAAACAAAGATTCATTCCTTTTAAGCTAACAAAAAGGGAATGCTCTGAATACTAACTAGCCATTCTTGACTATTTTCATATTTGTCTTCAATTGTTTATTTCATATGTTTATTTTGATTTTTGTATTTTGTTATCAATCTTTTATATGCAATATATTTGTAGCATTATATTGTGGAACAATCACTGGAAAAATTCACTTTATTTGGTCACAAATTATAAAAAATCAAGCAAAATTAAAGGGAAATGTGACAGTACCATATTGTGCAAAAAGTAGTTCTGAAAGGGATGATGATTTTTTTAACATTTCATTTTAGTTAAAAAAACAAATTGGTCTGTGTCCAAATTTCATTTGCTTCAGGGAAGAAAAGAAAAATAAATTGCTTTAAATTTAATGCACATCAAGAATAAAATGAGTAACTACCAAAGAGATATTTCCAATTGATTTTTATCAGCTGCCTCCCCATTCTTCATCTTAAAAAAAGTTTTTGATTATAAATGATTTTGTTTGCTAGAGTAAAAATCACGTTTTGTCTCTAAGCAGTTTCAGAAAGCATTTTAAAACATTTATCTTTGCCGAAAATACCACTGTATTTAAATCATTACATAGTAATAATGATAACAATAGTTAACAATGTATTGAGCACTTAAGAAATACCAGGCAAGTGTTTTGCATAGATGATCTCATTCTAAAACAGGAACACCTAAAGGTAGTTACTATTAATCCTGTTTTACAGAGGAGGAAATAGAGGGTTTTTTTCAAGAAAGGGAGTTACTCCCCAAAGTGACACTGCTAAGAAGTAGCAAAGACAACCTTCGCATCTGTTTGATTCTGAAGTATTTGATTATGAATACTGCACCCTTTTTGTTTGTTTGAGAGTAACTTAAAGCTGATTAAACAAAAATGCCAACTATCATGAAGAATCAGCAAAAGACTTAATTTTAATGAGCATGGCAGTAACACTTAGAAGCCCTGGGGAGGATGATTAAAAAAACAACAACAACAACAAAAAAACCTTTAACTGTTTTCATGCGGATATTCTCCCTGCAGAGTCAGTATTTGAAATATTTCATTTAGGTAAGTGTGAGCCAATATGGCCCAGTCCTTTGCTTTGTAAACTTGAAATAGTCACCTCAAAAGCAAATTAGACTGCTTCGAAAAACAATCTGGCAGTTTTTTAAAAATTAAACATACAGAATATAGTTACCATATTATCTATCAATTCCACTTCTATATACCCAAATAGAAATTAAAACATATGCCCGCATGAAAACTTACACACCAATGTTCATAGCAGTATTGTTTTCAATATCCAAAAGGTAGAAATAACCTGCATGTCCATTAACTGATGAAGGGATAAACTGTGGTACACCCATACAATGAAATATTATTTAGCCATAAAAAGGAATGAAGTACTGCAACATATATAAACCTTTAAAATATTGTGCTAAGTGGAAAAAGCTAGTTAGAAAAGGCCCTATATTATATGATTCCATTTATAAGAAATATTCAAAATAGGCAAATCAGAGAGACATAAAGTGAATTAGTGGTTGCCAGGGACTGAGGTGATTGCTAATAAGCAAGAAGGTGTTTCTTTTAGGGGGAGATGAAAATGTTCTGGAATCAGATAGTGGTAATGGTTGCACAACTATAAATATAATAAAAACCAATGAACTGTACGTTTTAAGAGAGTAAATTTTGTGTTATGTGAATTACATCTCAAAAGACAAAAACAATCACATTAGATTACCTGCAAAAAAAGAAATAATAAAGTTCATGTTTATAACTTGATTGAATAAGATACATATATATCTGTCAATAGGATTTGGGGATTTTAAGTGGATGGGCTGGTTAACCATACTAACTTACATCATTTTACATTAAAACAAAAAAACCAAGAACCTGTACTCTGTAGATTTAAATTCCATATACATGAAGTTATGCTGAACAAAAACCGAAATTCTGATGTAGAAGTATGTTCTAATACCTAGTAAAAAAATCTCTGCTTCAAGTATATGTATCATGGTTATTCCCAATAACCATGACTTACACTGACTTACGATGAACAATACTGGTAAACCACACTCCACCTTGCTACAGGAAACAGGGCAACAACCCTTACACAGTGAAAAAAGGGAAATCTATCATCCTCCATTTTCTGTGCCAATACCCCTTAATTGGCATAAACAGAGGTTGTCTGTAGGTTATGGAAAAGGTTAACATGCTAGGGCTGAGAGCATGCTAAAGAAAGAGCTGAGATAGCCCTATCCTCTCATCTCTGGCTGACCTTCAGGCTCTCTGCAAACAGGAAATGAAGGCTAAAGCAGAGCTGTAAACTGCCTGTTTGGGCATTAAAACACAGAGTCCAAGTGCAAAGACTAGGAGTTGTTCACGTTTTTTTGTCCCAGGCATTTAAGGAAATTTCTGTCAAGCACTGGCTGAATGCTAAGCCAATGGAACAGAGTCTTCAATGGCCATACATGACAAAGAATACAGACTTTACACATTAATACAGAAAAGTCACTAAACACATAAAAGGCAACAACTACAATAAATAGCAACAAACCCTGGGGAGTGGGGAGACTCTGATTTCCAGAATTGCCACATTATGATATTAAAAATGTCCAGTTTTCAAACAAAAATTACTTGGCATGCAAAGAAAGATGAAAATATGGCCCATACACATGAAAAAAGGCAACTAATAAAAATGCCTAAGGAAGGCCACACACTGGACTTACTAAAGACTTTGAATCAACTATTTTAAATATGCTCAAAGAGCTAAAGGGAACCATGTACAAAGAACTAAAGGAAATCATAAGAATGTCTCACCAAATAGAGACTATCAATAAATAGATAAAATGATTTTTTTTAAATGAGCCAAATAGAAATTCTGGAATTGAGATATACAGTAATTTAAGTGAAAATTTCAATATGCTTTCAATAACAGCAAGAATCACCAAATTTGGAGATAAATCAATTGAGATTACACAATCTGAGGAGCAGAAAGACAAAGGAATGTAGAAAAGTGAACAGTCTATGAGACCTGTAGGACTCGATCAATCATACCAATATATGTATAATCAAGTTCTATAATGAAAGCAGAGAGAGAAAGGAGCAGAGAGAACATTTGAAGAAATAATGGCTCAAAACTCCCCCAGTTTGATGGCAAACAAGAAATAATGTTTACTTAAGGGCAGTGCTAACAGAAGTGGTTATGTGAGCACATAAAGGGCAAGTGAACCAAGTGAATCCACCCATGGCACTGGGTGTTTCTGACACAAGAAAAGTGAGAGTCTAATAAGATAGAATTCCTTGTAAATAAAAATCCATTGAGAAGTGAGTGATGTGGTGAGTTTAACAGCACTAAATTGCTACAGGTCGACCCTCAAGATAAGAAGAAATGGCAGACAGGCCTCCATCTGTGCAACCCTGGCCACTCTCACTGGCCTTGAGGCGTCTGCTCTCTTGCTCTCCTGCTCCTTTTGCATCTGTGTGCTGCTACCTCCCTGGCCTTCCCCACTCCTTACTGCTGGATCACCTGATGTGATCCTCCTGCCGACCAGTTGCCTGCCCCCAACCCAATCTCAAATCTCCAGGATGGTGAGCATCAGCTGTTACGGACTGAGGTCTGCCTCATCCCCACAGCAGGAGACAAAGGGCTGAGAGCCTACCCTGCAAGTTGCCAAGAGTCTGGTCCATCCTGACTGATTGAAGAGTCAAACACAAATGACATTTTAATCACTGGTTGGTGGTCAGGGGATGGGGGAGGTAAGCGTTATGTTCACACAAAATATTTTATTATACTTAGTGATCTTTTAAATTCATTCCTACAAAGAGGCTGCTACATTTTAAATATTAATATTTATTTTAGAAGGGTTATTGTTTTTTCCAATGAACACTTTTTCACTTTTACAGTAAATACCAATAGGGAAATCAGGGTTCAATATGCAAAATTTTGCCTCTAGAAGTTTTTTTTTGTCCAAAGTATTAATGGATTCCTCGATGGAGGGCAAGTAAGGGAGCAGTTGCCTTTTATTAAATCCTGTACTTTGATTACCTCCTTTTGAGGTAGCATATTTAGTTGTCTCTAAAAGATTATTTTTACTTAAAACATATTATTTTTATTTTTGTGGGCTATGAAAGGATTCTGTGCCCATTCACAGATAGAATGTCTCATTTGTCAACTGCAAATTATGATATTTGATATGATATTGACAGACATATACCTACAGGATGCACTCAATAGCACCTAATATCAGTTGTAGGTCCTCTGTTAAACATACTAGACTATAAACAAATACATGGATAGGGAAACATATTTTCCCAAGTTGGCCTCCTCCATAGCTATATATTTAGTGGAATTATGAGATCTTAGGAATGATATATTTTGACAATGGAAGTAGTCTTTCATAAGAGTTAAGAAACATAATGCATTATCAAAGAAAGTTCCAACCAGTTAAAAAAAAAATAAATAGATTTCAAATCTTTAAAGTTACCCTTTTTAGACCTTTATAAAATTTCAGAATTGCTTTAAAGCTTTGGGGGAGGGTTTATATGCTTAAAATAGGTTTTAATTTAGCATTTCTATTACAAACTCTAAATCACAGTGCTGTATTCTGAATACTAAAATTCTTCCTGAATAAGTTTTAACATAACAAAAACTACAGAGGCAGATTCTAGCAGTAAAGATTCTGCTTTACAGGAATTAATTTTTAAATTTCATAACTATTATAAAGCATACATTTTCCTCCTACCCTGACATAAATTAAAAATAGCTTTTGTTGTATCACATTCTTTTTTAAATAGTTGCATGCAACTTTTTTCCTCTTTCCTTTTTTTTGTTCTGCTAAAAATATGCATAGCTCAACCAACCTACTAAAATCAAAGCATCTTCAACTTTCCTTTTCCCACAGTTTCAAACAGTTTGTTAGACAAGATTCTTTCACATAGGTATCTTAATATTTCCTGTGTCTTTACTTAGAGAATAGTTCTATTTGGACCCTCCATAATCAAATTCTTTCTGATGACTGCCTGATTAATAGAAAGGGAGCAGTCATAAAGATCATGCCAAAATGATTTACATCTGTCTTAAGAAAAAAATTTCACACTTGTACAGGAGAATAAATAGTGATATTCTGGGTATTTAGAACCTTGTTCTCTCAAAATCTGCCATACTTCTATTTCACGTTTTTCTAAGACACAGGCAGCAGTACATCTCCTGTTTTTCTCATCCACATCCTGACCCAGCCTTTGAAGAATGCTGAAAGCCTGGTGAAATAAGATCTCCTCTTAGGGAAATCCGGATGCCGTTTTCCTCAAAAGATTATTCTCAGCTCTTGTGTTCAATGATCTTACCCTTTACTAGATATTCTACCAGCTTGCCAAGTAGGGGAGTAAGATTCACCAATTCACACTTCTCAAAGTGTCTGGAGCAATTAAGCAAGTAAGCACATTTCTAATGTATCAGTCCCCTAATCTATTGGTCACTATATTTAAAGTTTTTTAATATGATGAAGACATGATTAAATTAAAACAATCTACTTGGCACTATTTATTTTAAAGGACTCTTTTCAAAGGCAACTTTATTCTGGAATCAATTTTCAATTGCTTTGCTAATTCTGACACCACAGCTTCCAGAAAATATCATTTTGAAGTCCATATTCACAGAATCTTTGCAATGAGGATTCCTAGGAAAAAACACTTATTCAGGTACTGCTACCAAAGGCGACTCTTCCTCACTCTGAGGGAAGCACTTCTAGGAAAACAGGTGCCCCCTCTACCAGACTTGAAAAAAGTCAGTCATAAAAAGTGTATGTTTTCTGTAAGCCAACTATACAAGCTGCAGAATTAATACTAAAGAGCTAAGCATATAATTTTAAAAGTCAGAAAAACAGCAAGAAGAATAAACCCAAAGAAAGAAAAAGGAAAGAAATAATAAGGATAAAGGAAATTAATAAAACAGAAAAGAGATACAATAGAGCAATACTCAATAAAGATCAAAAAGCCACAAGTTGATCCGTTAACAAGATTATGAAACTGATAAATCTCTGGCATAACTAATAGAGAAAAAAGAAAGAACAAACAAACAATACTAGGAATAAAAAGAGGATCATAACTATATATGCAGTGGATTATAAAAAGGCAAGAGAATATGATGAACATTATGCCAATAAATTTGAAAATATAAACAAAATGGACAAATGCCTAGAATCTTATAACTAAACAGTAAAAAAAAAATAAAAAATAATAATGTAGTACCTAGACTTCAAACTAGCCAGTAGTATATAAAGGCACTGCTAAACTCAGGAAAACAAAACGAATCTCAGAACCTCAATTGCACTATTTCCTATTATAATTTAGTAATACAAATTTTGGCTCCAAATGAGCGAAGTCAGTTTTTTGGTTCAAATGAACAAAACTAAAAAGTCTAACTAAAATATTTCATATCTAAGTATTATGGTTTATAAATGCTCTAAATTTAAGAACGATATCCACATCTTTTTAAATTTATTTAATCCAGAGTTTTCCTAAAGCAGTTCTGTTTAACTTTTGGGAGTAGTGAATACAAGATTATATGTGCTGTCAAGTGTAAAGTGATTAGGATTTATTAACTTTCTGAAACTTAACTGAATGATCTTTGTACTCCTATATTTAATATTAACTTTGACTGCCTTATTACAGTGCAATGTAAGTGCAAAGAGCAACAAAGCCAAAGAATTATACGGCTAGAAGAGATTTCCACCCCTTTCTTGACAGACAAGGAAACTGAGACCTGGTGAGGGGAAGTAACTTGCCCAGGTTGTTATAGTGGCATACTCACAGAAAGTTATGATAATCCTGTACCTGGTGGAACACAATTTTGTCCCATTACCTTTACTATTAAGGTAATATGAAGCTATTACTCAAACCAACATGCATCTTTCTGTGACATACTATTTAGAGTCAGCACATCAATTAGCATTAAGGAGACTTTTCATACATTATATAAAGAGACTGTTTTCCTATTTTGTTCCCAAATTCACCTATTCTTTGAAATTAACTGCATTTTCATATACAGAGAGAGATCTATGATAAACAGGAGAAAAGGAGGAAATTATTATATCACTGAGACTCAAAATTGAATTTTGTGATTTATAAAGTCTTCTCTGTCATAAATGCATAATTTTTCAATAACAAGCTACTCGAAAGATGAGATTTTCATATAAAACACAAAAAATATCCATTGTTTTAATATTTCTCTCTTTTCATCTTCCTGGTTTAAATGACTTACTGACTGCAAAATTCATGGTGATAATTTGGTTTTCCTTATACTAACCTAGCATGATCTGATAGTCTTATTTTAGTTTCTCAGATTAAGTGTATAAACCAAAATTGTGTTGAACAATTCTCCTTTGATTCACGCAGTTATACAAAAATTGTATGTCAGATAGCAACACATATAGGTAAAAAGGGCACTCATCCAAATTTTTTCTACGTAATACTAAATTTTCAAATAATGTTACATTTGAATGATTCACATAAGAAAACAGAAATTTGGCATCATAGAATCATCATATCAAGATACAGTTTTCATACAGTTTTCCTGTTGCATAAGTTTCCAAGATGATCACCATAATGTCCCCCATTCCACATGATCTTCTTCAGTGTGAACCTGCCTCTCTCCCATCAAGAAGTGGGGTTCTCATTCCCCTCTCTCACTCAATTAGGGCTGGCCTATGATTCATTTGTAACTAAAAGAATGCAGTGGAGGCTGTGGAAGTGACTCACTGTGACTTCTAAGGCTAGGTCAGAAGAAGCCATGCAGTTTCTACCTGGTTCTCTTGGGAGGCTTACAGTTGGGGGTGCTCAGCTACCTGAGACTGTCAAGTGGAAAGGCCAGACATAGATACTCTGGCTGACAGTCTCAGCTGAGCCCAACCTTCCCATTATCCCTGCAAACATGCCCAACATGTGAGTTAAGAAGCCATCTTGCAAGCAGACCCTCCAGCCTCAGCCCTAATCATCTGAATCACCCCGGCCATTCAAGTCTTCCCAGTTGAGGCCCCAGGCAGCAGGGAGTTGAGAGAAGCCATCTCTGATGTGTCCTGTCCAAACTGCTAACCCACAGAATTACAATCATAATAAAATGGTCAACATCCTATGTCACTAAGTCTGAGGTGGTTTGTTATACAGTTTGTAGGTAATCATAAGAGCATGTTTTGGCCAAAGTCAAAAACAAACAAAAAACCCATTAATAATCTACATTACTGTTGAGCTTAGTAATAGGACTAATTCTTATATTTATTGTGTAGGTAGCCAGATAGACCAGAAGGCAAAAAAGATCCTTCAGACCTGAAGAAAGGAAGATCACTCCATTGGTGCACAGAGGATGTATGTCCTTAGCAAAATGGAACTGTGTCCCATGCACATCCGGATTGTGAAGGACAGAAAGGGGCTAAGTACCAGGAAAAGGCTGGGCCAGGGAAGGAAGCGGCTTTTATAGCATAGCTATCTCATTCTCCAGCTACTGCCAGGCAACCTACTAAGGAAACTATGAATCTCCAAGGGGCTCATAAGACAAAGAACACAGCAAGGGGAGAGGGGGGAGATAACACACAAGCTGTTCCTCCACCCTATGAGGGACAGGATGGATAATGTATGACCACAAAAGAAAGAATAAAGTCTAAGGTATAATTTACCTTACAGCCTTGAATACCAAAGAGGAAAAGTCGAACACTTTAACTATCTTTACTTTTTACCCTTCAAAATTCTATTGATAATATATTTTAAGTCTCTTTAAGTAACCGATGTCAAAATAATTCCAAACATTCATCATGAAATCTTTGGATTTTTCTTCTAAATTAAAAAGATGATAGAAGTACATTCCTTTCATGCCATAATACCACTGACTCTTTATATGGATGGTATTAATTTGCTCGTTTTAGACTATTTTATACTGGATGCTCTTGGTGGGAAGTTCTTAGTGGAGTTTTGGCAGTAACAAACTCAACTGACAAACTTCAGAATATATTTTTCCATCAGAAATAATTTAATAAAGTGAGGCATAGTGGCTCACACCTATAATCCTTGCAATTTTGGAGGCCGAGATGGGAGGATTACTTGAGGCCAGGAGTTTAAGACCAACCTAAGCAACATAGCGACGCACCTATCTCTACAAAAAAAAATAAGAAGAAAGAATAAAAGAAAGAAAGAATTTAAGGAGAAGCTACTTCCCACCTGACCATTTCTCCACGCTATGAGTCATTTTCTTATTTCCCTTCTTTAATGCTGCAGGAAAGATAATGTCAGTAGATGTAGGGACTGAGTTCACTGAAGAAACCCATTGGCTTCAGCAAAAACTATAACCCAACAAGGGCTATTATATTTCCTTAACCAACACAAATGAGACACTCCTAGTTTAAAAGCTAAATATGTGGTTATTCATTGTTTTAAAAGGCTAAATAATCTTATATTCCACATTCCTCCTTCTCCCTCAAGTATCTATTCCTAGTGCAGCTGGTTTACTGAGTCAATTATACCTATTTTAATTCTAGTATTAAAATACGCTATCACCTGCAAAAAGTAAAAAAAGAAAAAAAACACAGATCAAAACACAAGAATGCTTTTCAAGTTTATAGGTCCCTACTAAGCATACTTTGATTTTAATTAATTGAAAACCATGGAAACCTTAGCAGACTATTTTTAGATGCTTTATGAATCACTTCCTGAGGTGTGAGCAAGTTGGGACTGGCCTTTCTTCATGTTATTTATTGCATTCCCAGCTTCTGAAATGTAAGCTGAATGGGGTGTTCCTCCTTCTCTCTCTGTCCTTTCCTCCTACCTCTTCTCTCTCCTTTTCACAAAGCTATGTGTGGTAGATAGGCAGGCACAAGAGGAGCGCCGTTCATTTCCCTACATCAAAACCTGGCCTGACCCAAATAATGTCAAAATAACCTTTTATGAAATAATCACAGTTCCCCACAGTTCAAATGATGAATTTAGAAGGAAAAACCACATAAACAGAATAAATCAATGAGAATTTCCTAATGACAGAGATGAAACACTATCTGAATAAAAAGAGGAAAAAGTCATAAAATTAAAAGGAAAAATATTAGTCAGAGTAGCAAAGAAACCTACCTATACAAGAAAATGTATCCAAACCACAGGGAAGTAACTGTTTCCAGTGCCAAGAAAACCCATGAGTTATGGAGCATAAATAACTACAACAGGAAATACACACTGAAAATTTTCAGAGATTTTAACAGTAAATACATGCTGGCTTTTTTTCTATGTCAGGTTTTGGCTAAATATCAGTATACAGTGAACGTGTAGACATTACTACTCGGGATCTCTCACCTTAAAAATAAAAAAATGGCAAGGTGAGAATAAATATGAAGATTTCAATTAAGTCTGAAGCAAATTCTAGACCTTGAATCAAAAGCATTAACCGCACAGAGAGAAGAACGTTCGCTAAAGTTATACGTAATTTGCTTTATGTCAATTTTTCTTTACTACATTATAAAAAAAGGTTTTAATGGAATTATTCTAACATCCACTAAAACAGCTTTATAAGCAAATCAAACCTTCATTTCCCTAAACTGAAAGTATTATTTTATAAGTTAAAGTGATATTTTATGAGTTTACTTTTAAATCTTTAAGCCACATATACCATATAAATCCTACAACAAAAAGACTTTAACAAATTCTACAAGGATTTTTAACCATTCATTTTCACTACAGTATAACTTCATGAAAATCAAGATTTATCAAATCTACTAAAAAGAGATACATATTTTAATCCAGTAAAATTGGACCACCAAGAGAAAAAAAAACTTGAAATTCAAATTCAATTTATGATGAAAGTACACTAATATTTTAATTCATAAGCTTAGAATCCAACTCAACATACCAATTTTAATGATGGATATATTTCATAAATATATTTTTTGAAAACTCTTCTTTCCCCTTGATAATATTGTGCTTAAGAAAATTAAATTGATAATCCTAGCTCTCTGGTAGGCCGAGGTGGGTGGATCGTTTGAGCTCAGGAGTTTGAAACCAACCTAAGCAAGAGTGAGACCCTGTCTCTACTATAAATAGAAAGAAATTAATTGGCCAACTAATATATATAGAAAAAATTAGCCGGGCATGGTGGCATATGCCTGTAGTCCCAGCTACTCAGGAGGCTGAGGCAGGAGGATCGCTTGAGCCCAGGAGTTTGAGGTTGCTGTGAGCTAGGCTGACACCACAGCACTCACTCTAGCCTGGGCAATAAAGTGAGACTCTGTCTCAAAAAAAAAAAGAAAATTAAATTGAATATGTTACTCCCAAATTCTTCCACTCACTATTATATATATTTTTCCACATATAAAATATACTTTATTATCCTCATGAAAACTACATAGTATATTAAGATCTATGTTAAAATTACCTTGTTTTTTTCTCTAACTACTTTCTCTCTCCTCGACTCACAACTAAAACAATTTCACATAAGTAATGGCATAATCCAAAAGTTCCACATTAAACAAGAAGGAACAAAAAATCAACATTGGCTAAATGCAACTGCACTGCATTTCACAGTCACCAAATTTAAAACACTGACAACAGCATCAGTTGCTAAAATTCCCGAGTATCATAGGAATCTGGCAAGTCATATATCAGAGGGTGTTGAAGAAAAAATTTCTTTAAAAAAACTGCTATGGTACTACAGTAATAGGGTATTGGGCAGGTGGAAGAGGGGAGGGGGGCGGGTATATACATATATAATGAGTGAGATGTGCACCATCTGGGGGATGGTCATGATGGAGACTCAGACTTGTGGGGGGAGGGGGGAAAATGGGCATTTATTGAAACCTTAAAATCTGTACCCCCATAATATGCCAAAATAAAAAAAAAAAACCTGCTATGGTGGGTGTTTCATTAATGTTACAGCCCCAATATTTCAATAATCTGAAATAAGGGTCTTCTTTTATTTTTTTTAATAACAGGAACAAAATCATGAATTTATCTTTCACAAAATCATGAATCTCTAAATCCAGCACAAGTGTTCTATTCAAAGTGATTATGAGGATTTTTTTAGCAACACACTGCCATAAAAATAATGACTATATGACAGTTGTTTTATAAATATACACACAAATGTACTTACATTTATATATTTATATTTTATTACATAATTGGATTTCATTTCCCTTTCTCAAAACAAGGTCACTTTACATTTCCCAAAATCTCTGACTAAATTTAAATTTTGTTTTCCTGACAAATTTAAAATTGCATGATTTGAAGTAAACATATCAGAAAGCAGTCAACCACTAAAATATTAATTTATGTGCTTACTAATCCTAACAGAATCTCAACAATAATCTGAAAATATGATTGATAAAAATTTTATACCACACCCCATATTGGGCAGTGATCCTACTTTCTACGTGAAGACACTGGTAACTCCAGTTTTGCCAGCTAAAGGACTCAGGGCCAGACCCCTAAAACAAAAATTCCAGCTAGTGGGTGAGAAATGTCCTAAGAGAAGAGCTGGGCTTGCTAACCAGGAGAGGAAGAGCATTTCTGGAATAGGGTAGGAGAAGATCCCAGAGAAGCACTGAGAACAGATGGGGCATGTCCTAGGAACCAACACTAAGGTTAGGGCTTCACTCTCAAAGCAAAAGGTATCACAGAAGTTTTGAGTGAAGAATTTTACAAAGTAGTGCTGTAGGAGTACTAATTTGGAAGCTGTGTGAGAAAGGATTTGGGGGGAATAGAGAGGAACAGGAGGAAGGGAGGCTAATTCTCAAAATGATCTAAGCATGTAGTGTTGACAGGAGCCTGGTACCAGCATCAGAAACAATGGGACAGAGGTGGGACATGATGAGGGCACAGTCAGCTGGCAGGTGCAGGCCATCTTCCAACACCAATGTCTCAAGAAAGGTTTTGTTCAGCTGGCTGCTTTGGTTTAGTTTGGTTTGGTTTGCTTAGAAAGTGCCTATCTAGTTAGATTCACAGATCTAACTAGGATTGATCTCACAGTCAACAGTAGTTCAGAATTCTGTGTTCCTATTGTTAAAGCAAAGAAAGCAGTCAAAGAAAGCAGAATAACTCAGTGGAAAGAGCACCTGGTGTCACACCCAGGAGCCCACAAATCTATTTTTGGCTTTTTGAGCAATGTTGCTCATCACCTTGTACAACCAAATAGGTCTCAGTTCCCTTCAAAGAAAAATGGTAAAGCAAATTGATATGACCCACAAAGCTTCATTAATGGGAGAAATAAACAAACTCAAATCTGTGAAAGTGCTTGGGAGCAAAACCACTATACAAATGCTAAACCACTAACAAGTAATATTTTCTAAATGATGCCATATGGACCTTCAGTTCTACCCAACTGGATGCATGTTTTGTTTTGACGAGGATGCAAGCACATCAATACCAAAATGTACCATTTTACCTACATATGTTCATCCTTCCATGTCTGTTTTTTGCTTCTAAAGTTGTAGATCAATCACAATCTTGATAGAATTTTGAAAACACTATATGATTATTAAAAAAAAAAATCTGACAGGCAAAGTATTTACATAAATTCAAATCCAGACCAAAGACTTTAAAACAAATATAATGCAATGGTTGCACTAAACCACTGGGAAGGCTGCCTTTGAGGCAGGTCATCCATACAACAAGTTGAGTATTCCTTAACCAAAATGCTTGGGA